TTATGAATATTATTTTAAATAAAGCATACCTCTCTATCTGAGTTTTCAAATTGCTTCTCAAAAGTGTCAATTTTCCACGCGATCATATCCAATTTTCCAACAACTTGTTTAACCTGTCGATTTAAAAAAACTATAAAAATATTTGAAATTATTCACAGTAAGGAGACACTTGATCATTTGGTATTTGTAAACTATTTTAATATAAAATTCATCATTTATAATCTGACCAAATGCAGAGAGCAAATAAAATTTCAAATTAGAAGTTATTTGGGATTACTTACACTTTGTTCCAAGTGCACAATAGTGGTTTCCATGTTGATTGTAATATATAAATGATTATTTTATACAAATAAAACGTAACTGATAAAACGCTTGTGCAAAAGTGACGGTTGCTTTATGACGCTTGAATCGATATGTACTCTCCGCACGTTTGAAAAGCTATGAGTAGGTAGGTAGTGGTGGTGGACATATAAACTTTTAACTATACTGACCACAGACTAAGGAATAGGAATAGAGGGACAGAGCATAAAGTCCTCATTTTGTTAAGAGGAGGTATCACCTACTAGTGTGAAGTTGGCTCACCATATTAACCAATATTAATGAAACATAGCTTAAAAAATTGCTCTTTAATTGCTCACTTATCTTTTTTTAGAAATATCCAAAATACTTTTTGGAGATGCCTAGGTACTTTCATGAGAGGTTGGAGAATCTTAATTGTTATGTTGTCTCATTGCATGACCAATATGAACATAGCTACTATAAAAATGGCGAAGTCTAAATCGCAAGTTTCGATTGGCTTTCAAGATATGTCACAAGTCTAGGCATTGATAACCATTTTAATTAATTTCAATTGATTTTTAGTCGACATGTAAGCTGATTATAAAAAAATATTTCTATACATTTTCGTATATTATATATAAAGTACCCAATATTTGAAAATCCTTAGTTGCTATTGTTAAGTTTCAATATAGTATATCAATCGTTACATCAAAAACAGTCTAATTTCATTTAATTTTAAATGACGGGACTTGAATCCCCATTTAGACCTACATTATAAATATTGTTATTTAACTGGTTTCTAGCTTTAACTAGTTTCTGACAATCCGTTGAAATTTTCATATATTTCGTTTAAGGTCTTTTGAAAAGCTAACGCTTCTAGACGTAGTAATTTAAAGAATATATTGAAACAGAAAACTGATAAATTAAACTATAAGTGATCCTAGGCATACCTGGTTCACAACTTTGTTAACCTAGACGGTGTTTCTACATTGTGTCGATAATGTTGCGAACGATACATGGTAATAGTACAAACGAGCTATCACCATAGACGATGTGTTAGAAGACACCATATGGAGTTTCGTGAAATACGTTCTGAAATATCGACATTGCTAGAAACCAAAGGCACAGACCTAGGATCGTAAGTCTGTGTCCTATACCTCGTCTGTGATATTGTACCAACGATTGGTATTACGAAGTCGTTTAACCACGAATGATAATGTAGGAATCTAGCTTCAATTGAAGCTTTGTAGAAACAAAATGTATTTAATTTGATATAATTATTCAATCCTCGCGGATCTGTGGAAAAGACTCGACAATAAATTATGAAAACACACACACATATATATATAATATCAAATAATTGTGAAATCGATTTCTATTCTGCTTCAGCTTGTTGCAATAGAGCCAAACACATAATGTTTATTTTACATAAAGATCCACAGTATAATCATAACCATAAACATATATAAGTATGTAAATGTGAAACGTGTATGGTTTTAATTCATTTTATTTTCCTATCACAGAAAACATGAAAACTCTATTTTTAACGCATTACAATTACATGTCAGCCTTTACAAAATATTAAACGTTGCACACTTCATTGCTACCAAGTTACACATAAGGCATTTATACAAAAGTGCAGATCAATATTTTCACACGTTATATTTTTTCGAATAAGGACAGTACTTCACGATGCACGAGATGTGGTTTCAAGAAGAGGAGCATAGTTGAATGTATTTCGTTTTTGGTAGCAAAAGAGAAGTGGGGCACCAAGATTAAAAGGATATCGGATAACAATCGGTTCGATGGGCAACTGTATGTTTAAGCCCATTCCTATTCCAAGGCCCAGCGCAGTTAACGTACATGCTGAGCTTTTAAAAAACTTTCCAATCGTCTTTATCATTGGTGGACCGGGTGCTGGAAAAAGTTATTAAAATTTCATAATACTTTGCATTCTTTTTGGCAACATTACATAACCTTGTACAGTAGTGCACGATTAAATTTACGTCGAGTCAGGAGCCAGCATGTAAATATACTGGATGACATGTCCTTCCAAGAACTTACTCGAGCATGGCATGGCAATGAGTACTATATAAGAGATTGAACTTATTTCGATTTTTCTCAATTTTTATAATAGTGTAACCCCGAAGAAAGAAATATGTATAGTAAATTCTCCCTAATTGCCCTTCAGCTTGTAAACAAAAATGGACAATTTGGGAAGAGAAGATGCTATTATTCAAACTTCGTGTCTCATTTTCACAGGCGCCGATTGTTAACAACTATAAAAATGAGGCGCAAGGCTCGAATAATCGTATCTCTTTCTCCCAAATTGTCCATTTTTGTTTACAACTTGATGGACAATTGGGGAGAATTTACCGTATATCTAACAATTTTCGATGAGAGCAGCTTTATGATTTCAATCATTGTAACATAAAAGATGTTGATACATTTAGTGTTAAAGTGGCATCGTGACCATAAAAAAATAAACCTGCTATAAAGAAAATTTCACTTTTCGTTATTGTCACCTTACCTTTATAATTGCATTATCAATAGATAGCTGAGATTCTTCCGATTAAAATGAGTTCAATTAATTAATCCGCAATAGAATTAATTATTAAGCAATCGATAATATGCTTAGAATTTAACCGTACGAATTTTGTATAAATTTAACTGTGCACCACTGTACCAGCATTATTTTTTAACTTAAAATTAGTTATAGAATTTTTTGGAATTAATTTATTTAATATTTTGTATGTAATGTAATGCATTTTATTGTTCTCCTCGGTGTTTCAATTCCTTTAAGCAATTCTTCTTATCCAAACTTGTAATTACGTCTTATTTTATTTATGCTACCTCATTATACTATACACATACTACCATTTCTACCATTGGATCTCCCGTTCAGTTGCCTCTATTCAGAAATATTTTGTTTGCAATTCGCATCATTTTTGAATGATATATTACATTATATTTTGTACAAACGAGCTCCAATTAACTCTTTGCACTCGAAATATTTTCCCAGATCACCTGCAACAATTCGAATATACATGGTGTCCCATAATTAAATTAACAACCGGAAAGAGATATGATTCCTAAAGAGGTGAAAGAGATTCCAGAGGTCATTTGAAGCAACTTTGTCTCCAGCAAAAATGCAATCCGCGGCTTTGTTTACGAGTTATTAACGAAAAACAGTGACCAATAAGAGGCGAGCTCGTCTGGCGCAAGGCGACCGAGCGAACGAGCGGTCGAAGCCCAGTTCCATTCATTGGGTCGGTCGCCTCGCACAGCTGATCTCGCCTCTCATTGGTCACTGTTTTTCATTAATAAATCATAAACAAAGCCGCGGATTGCATTTTTGCTGTAGAAAAAGTTACTTCAAATGACCTCAGGAATCACCCCTTTCCGAGTTATTTACCCTTTATATACATTTATTATTTTCCGGGTAAATAGTATATTTGAATGACGCATGCTAGTCGTATGTAAACAAAGTCGCGGATTGCATTTTCGGATTGCGAGACATTTTTGGGACATCCTCTGTATACAGCTATATACTTCGAACATTGCATTCTGATCAACTTTTTGTTGCAAGTTAACACTAATACTCGTACGCGTTGCCTTATAAAAATTACAACATTGAACTTATGTAGATATCTTGCAATTTTTATAGTAACCCTAGGCCGCGTAAGATACTAGAAGGTTTAAGGGAGGTTCGTATCCATGCGATAGAAGGTACTGTAAATATTATTTTTTCTATTCGAGATATAATTATTTATACAATACTGTTAAATAATACATTACTTACAAAGGAACATTGCTAGAACAAAGACACCTGTTCAAAATTCTGCGGGCATATTTCGATCCTCCTTTGAACATGCTAGGTTCAATACGCATTTGGGTGAATAAAAAAGAACCGCTTCAGTATATTCATAATTTGAATAATATTGTAGGACAGAAATTGTCAAAACTGGTCATTTACCCGGCAACGGTACGAGTCGTGTCGATTCATCGAGAATTCCTTGTATCTTTTATTCCATTTCGATTCCGCTGACAGCGCCGATCATTGCAGGAACACTGGGTATGAAATTGGCGGAACACTACGATTTCCTGCACATCGTGACGGCCGACCTGATCCGTGAGGAGATATCGACGCGAACGGAGAGAGCTTTCAGATTAGCGCGTTTGATGTCGCAAGGTCAACTTGTTCCGACCGACATACTGGTCGAATTAATGATCACCAAGATACTGAACAATCGGCTGAACAAGCACGGCGTGGTCGTGAGTGGTTTTCCGAGGCGGAAGGAGCAAAGCATATTGTTCGACAGGTTCGTGCGGCCGCCTCATCTCGTCCTGTACCTGGACGTGCGGGATTCCGTGCTGAGCGATCGCATAATGGGCAGATCGATTACCACCAGGGAAGTTGTGGTGATGAACTACGAAGACATTAAGAGCCAACTGAAGGAGTTCCATACGAGGACACGGCCGATCGTGAAACACTATAAAGACTGTTTGGTACAGGTCGACGGCGAAGCTGATCCGGTTTCCGTCTTCGAGGCCGCGTGCGAAGCTGTCGACAGGTTCCTACAGAAATTAGACACGAGCTCGAGTGTTATTTCTCGATAAGTAGTAGTGGGCCACGAAAGTATATTCGAACGCTTTTTAATTACAATTAGCACAGCTTAAAATAGCGTCTCTAAAATTGGACCGAATGATTACAATTTTTTTTTTGAGAGAGAGAGATGTCAGAAGGAGCAGTTTATTAGACAATGGCTAACCAAATTTCTGCAAAACTTGCATCTGGTCGGAGCAATAAAAGAAATAGGAAAATTGTGTCTTCTTTGTTTTTATCTGTTTTATCTGAGCGTAGAACAAACAATGTAAACAATGCGGTTAAAAGGCTTCGTTAAGTTATATGCATGTTAAAGATTTCATTGAAATCGACGAAATAGGACCGTACGACGTAGTTAGGGTCCAACAGGACCCACACGACGAACATACTTTATTTTATTACTCTGCAGTTGGAACACAGGATTAAGGGCGGGGTAACTGGAGACGCTTGGCAACGATTTCGATGCATTTTTCAGCATGCATAGAAGTTACCACGATTTACAAATTTTATTGTATAAAAAGTTGAGGAAGCTAATTTTGTAATCATTGTTTGCCATTCCAAGCAATTGAAAT